TCCTGTTAGGAAGGGCGGGGTGGTGGTTAGGGATGCGTGGCCTCAGTAGGAAACTTAGCGGCTTGACCGTACCCAGTGACATGTTCACTAAACAGCCTCAAACTTGGAAGTCTGGAGGGGAAAAAAAAAAAAGGCAGGGGGGTCAAAGTTGACCTTCTTATGTGATGTATTTCACTCACAATCCTATCCTTATCTTTGGAATGAGAGAGCTTATTTTTTTTTTAATACTCCTATTTTCTTCCTAATAATTATTGGAGGTGGCCAAATTAAACCACAATGCCCCAAGAGGTCTAAATCAACCCCAATGAAGCCTGTGGCTTTTTGTAGGACACAGAATGAATGAATGAAAAACATAGCCTATTTAGAAAACCGGAGTCGTGGCAAGTTAACGCCAGGAGACGCGTTTCAGTACTTGTCAACGCGCTGACCTCTCTGTGCCCGAATGCCTTTCCCTACGTTTTCACTTGGTCACGTAGTGAAGCCGTTGTGGGGTTTCTCCTCTGGTCCCAACTTTTGTTTATGTCCCTCTGCTCTGGTTCTGCAGTCCCAGGGCCTCGGGGGTGGGAGTCTGGCCGCGAGAGGCTCCTCCAGGGACCCCGACCGGGTGAGGCTGGGTCCAGCCTCCTCTGTGTGCTTCCCTGCAGGCTCTACCAGTTCCTCCTTCTCCGATCACTGGCTCCTTCGGCTGGAGAGCGATCACAGCAGTGCCAGGGGAAGCCTGCTGTCCTGGAGCTCCAGCCCCGGCCCCTCCCGGCCCCAGGAGCCGGACCCTCCCATCCTCACCACCAGCCTCTCCGATCAGGAAAAGGGTACGTCCTTTCGCGTCGGTCAGATTGCCTGCTTTGATTTTCCTTTTCTGTGATGACAGTTACTCCTCAGCTTTCTGAAAGTGCTGGTACTTCGCGGCTTTGGGTGTAAAGTGCCAGTCTTCTGTGACCGGCCCTCAGCTCCGCCCCCCGTCCCCCGCCCTCCAGCTGCAGGTGCATTCCCTCTCGGCTCCCTGGAGCTTTCTGTCTAATGGGCAGCATGACACGTGAATGAATCAATGCAGATAATGGCGTGATGAGAAGCAGGGACGAGGGGGAAGAGGTAGATCATCAGAAGGACAAATTTGCCTGGCAGAGGGCGCCCCGCCCTGTTAGATGTCCTCATCACAGGGGGCGGGAACAAGGGTGGGAGGCCAGGTGGAGGGCTGACGGTGGTTGTCTCAGCCAGAGAGTAACGTAGGCACTCGAGTGCTGGGCCGGAGGTGGTCAGATTCTGGGTGCCTTTGAAGCTAGAGCTCGCGGGATTTGTTGCTGGGGCGGAGGGCGGGGGCGTCAGGGGAGGAGGGGAGTCAGGGAGGGCTCTTTGCTGAGCGTCTAACTAGGTGGCCAGGACTGCAGGTCGAGTAAGGTCAGTTTTGGAGGGAAACCAAAACATTTTTCAACACGGTCATTTGGAGACACTCCTGTAAGACATCCGAGTCGAGATGATAACCAAGGAGAGGAGGTAAATAGTTGAGAGCCGTCAGCACGTGGATGGCGTCGAAAGCCCAGGGAAACTGGGAAGACAGAAAAGAGGAGAGCCTGCCCCAAGCCCTGCAGCTCCCCCCACATCAGGCGACTGAGCAGACAGAGAGGCCAGCCAAGAAAGCACGGGGCGGCCCCTGGGGAGGTAGCAAGAACACCAGTACCTGTGGCTCATGGACACACAAACGGACGCCCTTGCAGGAAGCCAGTGGCCCAGCGGTGTCACGCACTGTGGAGGGTGGGTGAGCGGCCATCGGGCTGGAGGGTCACCCCGGGGGACCTGCCCCTGCATGTGCTTGGAGAGCACGGAAGCCGCGGCGACAGGTGGAGGAGACACCGGGCTGAAGACGGGCCGGTGGGTCACGGGCTCCATCGAGAGCTGCGGGTAAAGACGCAGTAGCCGCCGAGGAACACCAAGGTAGAGCACGTTAGCGTCCAGATGAGCCAGTTAGGATTCAGATGATCCCCTCTGCAGAGGGAAAAGCGACGATAGGGCAGGAGAGCCAGGGGATACCTACTTTTCCAGAGTCCTTCTGGAAAAACTGCGAATGTGCGCGTGCGTGCCTGTCATTCAGGCTGTGTGTTCCTTCCCTCAGAAAGTGGCAGCACACTCTGGTTACTTACAGTTTCCATGTTTCTGTTAGCTCCTGAATTCGTTGCTAAAATAAGATTTTTTTTTTTTTTAAATGGAAGTATGACATACATACAACAAAGTGCATTCATCACAAATGTCTAATGAATTATCATAACACGTACACACTCCTGTAACTATCACCCAGATGAAGACAGAAAGTTCCAGGCCCTCCCCTCCCCCCTGGTGTCTCTCTCCAGCATCAGTGTCTCCCTCCTTTCCAGAAGGGAGTGGTATTCCGACTTCTAACACCCTCAAACAACTGGGACACATAAAGTTCTCTGCACAGAAGTTTAAGTGTCCATGAGCGAGAGAGAGACAGACAGACGTTGTTGTTATCTGTTGACTGTTGACTGTTGACTATGGTCGATAAAAACCAAAAGCAGGGATCTGGGAAAGAAAGAAAGTACGATGGGTGGGGGTGGGGAGAACCACCTCCTTCTCTCCGTGGGTTCTGAAACTGATCTGAGGCTGACCTGGGGAAGGTTGGCTTGATCATCGAGGGAAGCGCTTCGAGTGTGTTTATTGCTCGGCCTTGACTTCTCTATGGTTCAGGTCATCATTGTATCAAAGTGGCCCACACAGTCCCTTGTGTGTGTAGCAGACTCTGGTTACATATTTGCAAGTGAATAAATGTGATAGTGTAATCTTAAAGCTCCAGGTGGTTTTAGAGCAGCGTTGAATCCTACCCCCTGGTGGATAGTGGTTTAGGTATCACAGTTCGGTTAACTGTTGCTCAAGGTTTGGCATGTTGGTTCCCCATATTCCCCGTTTAGACCTAATACTGATAGGAGTGCCCCTACGTGCATATGACATTTGTCAAATTTCCTTAGAATGCGTTTCTGTGGAGGCAAACGGTTTAATGCATTATGTTCTGACTCACCCAGTCTGAGCATTCCTCTTCCCTCTCATGATGCACATTTAAGGTGGTGTCTGGCGAACAGAAAAGGCATTCTTTCCCAAGCCTGTCCATCCCCATCAGCGTGAGCCTCGGGCGAGCTCAGAAACCCCTCCCGGTTCTGCCCAGTGGCGTGGGGCCTCGGGCCACTTCTCACTTCTCCCGGGGACAAATGCATTGCACACCCACCCCCTCACTCCCCCAGGGAGGCAACTTCAAAAGATGGCCCAACTTCTCAACATGGTACCCAGACAAAGGTCAGGCCCAGCGTTCGAGAACTCCCCCGAGGGACAGGGCTAGGGTAGCGGAGGGCAGTAATATTGAAGAATAGTCATATCTCAGCCAGTCATCAGCATCTCCAGGAGGGTGAAATGAGAAAGCTGAGCCTTGGAAGCCACCAGTCGCCAGCTCACCACCTTGGAAAGGGGCAGGGCTGCACGTAGACCACCCCCCCCGCTCCCTCTGGCTGCCGGCATCCTGGCTCCATGCTGCTAGGTATAAATTCTAAAATCGAGTTTATTCCATGTGGCCTCAGCAAGGGCCTTGCTTGCAAAGGGAGCGTCCGTCCCCACTTGAGGTTTGACTGAAATGGTGGTGGGATTTTGGAACCTGTTGAGACGGTTGGAAAAAATCCAGCCTCATTTTTTTATTTTCTGGCCTGGGCAAGCTCCGACTCCAGCATATAGGTTTCAGTGGTGGTTGGTACCACGCCCTGTCCCTGTGGGTTTGGGGGAGAATTTTGTCATCGTCAAAAGGAGTACTCTAGTTCTCTGGAGAGAAACATGGGCAGCTGGGGAGCTCCATCCTTCCGGTAGCTATGCTATTAGAATTCTAAAGGCATATTATTTTATTTTATTTTAATTTTATTTTTTTAAGATTTTATTTATTTGACAGAGAGATAGAGAGGGCCAGAGAGCACAAGCAGGGGAAGTGGCAGAGGGAGAGGGAGAGGCAGGCTCCCCGCCGAGCAGGGAGCCCGACGCAGGACTCGATACCAGGATCCCAGGATTGTGACCCGAGCCGAAGGCCGACGCTTAACCCACTGAGCCACCCAGGCGCCCTAAAGGCATTTTAACCAACAGGGATGGATCCAAGTTTTGTGGGGACTGCAACTTCTGTCATTGGGGACGAGTATAGGGAGAAGCTCCTCAAGAAGGAGGATATAAAAACACCTTTTCCAACTTTTATTAAAAAAAGCAAGAGCCTGTGAAAACCAATGACTGTCCCCCCACCCCCACCCCCAATCCATAAAGGGGCCCTGGGACTTCATCTTTTCGGCAGATGTGCTTCTGATGGTAAATTTTCTCTGTGGTTTTTATTGGGCCTTGGAGGCTGTTTTTCACTTTATCAGTGCTTTACCAGTTCCAGAGACTGTGTTATTTCTGGTTTTTATTTCCATTTTGAAGGTTATCCGGGAGTTTCAAGCACTTACGATTTGGCGGGGGTCTCCCTTTAATTCTTTCTAATTTTGTGGATTGTGATCCAAGAATGTGGTTTTCAAAAAGCGTTCCCTTTTTTGTGACCAAGTTAAGTACACGATTATTATTTTGTCAGTGTTCTGTGTGTACACATGAAGTAATGCCTATTTTGTCTATTGGAGGGATATGAGCTTTGTGTTGTAACTATTAAATGAAGTGAGTTGATTTTTGGATTCAGTTCACTTTGTCTTTAAATTGACTTTATCAAGGACTGCCTGGCTAGAAAGGAGGTCTATTGCAACCTTCCTGTATGGCCGTATTTTTAATCAAGTATGCCGGGGACTTTAATCATTTCTGCTTTATATTGTTTGCTGCCTTGTTAACAGGTATCTGTAAGCTGATGACTATTAGGTCTTCTTTATAAATTGTCTGTTCTCGTTATAATGTGGCTCTTTATCTTGCTTAATGATTTTCATCTTAAATTCTACTTTGTTAAGGGGGCGCCTGGGTGACTCAGTCGGTTAAGTGTCGACTCTTGATTTTGGCTCAAGTCAGGATGTCAGGGTCATGGGATCGAGCCCCACGTCCGGCTCCATGCTCAGTGGAGAGAGAGTCTGTTTTAGAGTCTCTGTCTCCTCCCCCTCTGTCCTTCCCTCTGCTCATGCTCGCTCTCTAAAATAGTAAATAAATAAATAAATTCTAAAAAAGAAAATTCTGCCTTGTTCAAGATTAGTCACTTCCCCCTTCCCCCCTTTTTGTTTGCATTTGCCTGGTATAATTTTGCTATTATCTTTTGCTTCATGAATTTTTCCTTTAGGGTTAATTTTAAGTGGTTTCCCGTAAACACTGTTGCAGTTTTATTTTTTATTTTTTTGTTATTTTTTTAATGTCAAAAATTGAGAGCCTGCCTTAAAGGGGAGCATTCAGTCCATCCATACATATATATTTTAAGATTTTATTCATTTAACAGAGAGAGAGCGCACAAGCAGGGGGAGTGGCAGGGGAGGGAGAGGGAAAAGCAGACCCCCTGCTGAGCAGAGACAGTGGGGCTCCATCCCAGGACCCTGGGATCATGACCTGGGGCCAAGGCAGATGCTTAACGACTGAGCCACCCAGGTGCGCCTGGTCCATTCATATGTATTGTAAGAACCATAAACTTGATTTTGTTTCATTTTTATTACTGTTTTCGTTTTTCTTTTTTCCTTATTTTTCCTGAGTTGATCATGTTGCTCTTTGTTCCTTTTTTCCTTTGTCCGTCTGGAAGTTCTGCCCTGCTTTTCCATCTTGTCAGTTGTCCCTTTATCCTTCGCAATGTGTACGATCAAATGCATTTTCCTGTTCTGTGGCTATG